TATTTGTTTTATATTATGAAATGTTTACATGCACCATATAAGATTATATAAAATTGGTATTAACCAAATGATGTTTGCTACATTTTTAGTATAGATTTAGAAAAATTTCAAAATAAAATGTGACATTTTGTTTACATGTTAATATGAATATACATTTAGATTATCTCATCTATATTCCTCTATAGATTATTTTTTGCAGCTTATCAACATTTCATAAGTTATTTAAAGCCATAAAATAGTTTGATTTTTTGAGCACACTTTGACTTGATAAGCAGCGTTAGTATAATTTAAGACGATCTGAGCTCAAGGAGAGACGACGCATGATTTCGATGCTCACAAAATTAACGGAATCTAAGCTTAATTGAAAAAAAAAAGAAAGATAAATATTAGTTTAGGTATGTAAGTGTATCCTAATTTTACTTTCATTGTGTGGGATTCTAATGATATTGTAGGTTCGTAAAATGTCTGTATGTCATTAATTATATTTGGTCGTTGTCCGTATAAGTGATTTAGGGTCGTTTTTATGTAAACACCGCTTCTAGTAGTTAAACATACTCTAGAAAAGATTTAATAAAGTTCAGTGATTTAATGCAGATTAATGTTTTTGACCTGCATTTATAGTTGGTAAAATATTTATTAGGGTTCTTTCAAATTATTTGTTCTTCATTCTATCATTCAGCAGATTCCGATTCATATTTGATTCCTATACACACACACACACACACACACGTATATATATATATATATATATATATATATATATATATATATATATATATATATATAAAACTAAGTAATGAAAATCTTGGCAATCCGTATGGATAATCCCAAGGAGGATGAAATCCAGAGTGCTCACTGTTAAATCAGAGTGATTACTTCAATGGATATATATATAGATATATATATTATGAAATGGACAAAGTCCGACAATTATTCTAAGACATTTTTAAAAAGAATGTATAAACATATAAATGTCTTAAAATAATTGTCGGACTTTGTCCATTTCATAATGTGTGACGTCATTTGTTTACATTTGGATACGCCATGAACAGATATGAATGTACGTGAGAGATTCATGGAAGATTGTAGTTTAAAGACAATAAAATCGACCTTGCTAACTGAACGTTCCTCTGTGGCCCAATCGGTTAAAGGCACGTCAGGCTACATGACGGTTCCGTATAGGATGCAGGTTCGATTCCTGTCATAGAACGAATATTTTCTATGAAAATTTCTCCGACATTCAGGCAGGTAAATGTTGTTTAATACTGTATATTATAAACAGAGCATTTACTTAAATATTTTATCTATAAAAAGAATGTATAAACATAAAAACGGTAAGATATGTGTGTGTGTGTATATATATATATGTGTGAATATGAATGAAGTGTAGTTTTAAGGTATGCTATATTTATGGGATAAAGTGCTCAATATCAGAGATAGAACGTATGTAAATATAGAAGTGAACATTGACGTCAACACTTAGAGGCGACGATTGCGTTTATCATGAAACAGCCTGTCGCCTCTGAGTGTTGATATATATATAGGCAGTATATTTTCATTCAATCACGTTTCCCTTAATAATTTAGACGTATTATATCAATTTATTTTAGTTTTAATCCTTTCAAGTGCACGAATTTCTCGGTGGCTGTAGAAAATTAATCAAGAAGAATTACTAAATTTTCTTTCTTAGGAAAACAAAAGAAAATTTGAAAGAAAATTTTAGAATTTTTCTTGATCAATTTTCTACAACCACCAAGAAATTAATTCGTGGACTTGAAAACTAAAATAGACACACATAATACATCTAAATTATTCAACTACACACACACACACACACATACACATACACATACACACACACACACACATATATATATAATTACTTTTCTCGCACTTCTCGCTTGCGGAACTCTTATGCGGTTTCTTTCTAATAATATTTAAATGTGATATACATCCTTATCTTCTATCTTCTTAATTTCTGTTCTTGTTCTCGCTTCTGAATAATAGTTTTCTTTTTTATTCTTTCACACTCAGTAAACCTCTCAGTATGAATGTCATTTTGTTGCCTTCGCTTGTGGTGAAAAGATAAAAAAAAAAGCTTAAAATTGGCGGTTGAACGTGTTGTTATTTTCGTATGCATAATAAATATTTGATACACACTTCAAGACAGCATTTCTAGAAAGGAAGACATTTTTTTATGACCGAAACAACTAAGAAGATGCCGAATTAAACAGAATATGAAGGGAATGAAGGTGGTTCGCTACCAAATGGGCGTGGCAGGGTTGATCTTCATGACTAAGACCCACCATGTCTGGCACAGTGTATTGAATCAATATTCTCTTCATATTTCATTGGTGAAATGTAAGTTCCACTCCAGCAGATTCTTCACTTTAAGCTGTTGCTCTGTGGAACAGACTCCCAAGAGGGTGTTTTCCCGATCACTACAATCTTAACCTGTTTAAGTCTACAGTTAACCGTTATCTCACTCACATATTCTCATGAACTGTGCTTTTTACTCTGTAACACTCTGCCCTGAGTGGCTCTTAAGCCTTGCACAGAGTAAACATTATTGTAAAAAAAAAAACAAACAAAAATAACTTGAAGTTCTGACAACTTATCTATATTTTTTATCATGATAAACATTTTATTTGAAAGATAAAAAAAAAGTACAATCAAAATAAATAAACAAAGTTTACCTGTTCCTATTTTTAAAAGTTAGAGATTGAATTGTCTGTAGTGAAACAGTTTTGTTAAAAAAAGGAATAAAATAAACTTGCACACTAATAATGTACAGGTGGGTAAAATAAATTATTAAATAAGGGGTTGCGAAGAGAAAAAAAATGTTCATTGCTTTAGTTACCGATGCATAGAGGAAGAAATTGCCGAAATAACCAACTTTGTAAAATCTTATCAAATGACAAAAACACACACACACACACACACACACACACACACACACACACACACACACACACACACATATATATATACATGCATATATATGTGTGTGTGTGTGTGTGTGTGTAAATATAAAATACTGTCAAAAAGAAAGATAGAAAAATAAAGTTAAGCCAGTATTAAAGATTTTAATGTAGGAAAAGGAAAAATACGCACACAGACATTTATCTGTCCGTCTTCTTATATACGAAGTATTGAAATGTATGTATGAATATTACGCTATTGTATATCATACATAGTCACGACGTATATGTAGCTACAACACACACACACTTATGTATATATACACACGCATTACATCATTAAAAGTATGCACACACACACACACACACACATATATATATATATATATATATATATATATAGACTCTCTTTCCCTCTCTCTCTATTCATATATACAGAGAGAGTAATAGAGAGTAAGATACAATCTCTGTCTCTCTCTCTCTCTCTATCTATCTATCTATCTATATATTTGTGTGTTTGTGTGTATTTGAGTGAAGGTTTTTCGTTAATAACTTGTTTTATTGAAAAACCAACGGAATTTATTTGCTTAAGATGTTTTTAAATTGTTATTCTATTTTTATGAAGATGTTTTTGTTAATATAAGGATCGGGATTCGACATCAGTTTTTTAATATCTGAGCGCGTTTTTCGCCTTTCGTAGAACACTGTCAAAGAAAATTTATATCTGTTTATTAAAAATGCGTTTAGAGTTTGGAATTTGTTTCATGCACTATGTATAACGAAGATTATGAATTCTCTTGCTTACGGGTGGGGGGAGAATATTTCCCTAATAATTATTATAAAGATTCATATAGCTTATACATTGGTTACACAATTTCCACATTATCTCGTAGTATAATGTGGAAATTACTTCCGTAAAAAATAAAATAAAATAAATGAATAAATACGAATAAGATTTTCTGTCTCGGTAAGGCGGACTTGCATGAAAAGAAAACTATCCCACTGGGTTTTTCTTTTCAGATTCATTTTGCTGATGTAACTGTCATGGAACGAATGTAAGACTGGCATAATATCGAATATACAAAGCAAAACATATGGAAGGAAAACTAGGAATAATTTATTATTATTATCAATAATAATAATAATAATAATAATAATAATAATAATAATGAATCAAATAACAAACAAGAATCGGAAGAAAATGTGCCCTTAACTGAAAAAGCAAAACAAATACAAAAATACAACGAAACCAATCAGCTTTAAAATCCCTGGGGAGAAATCAAAGGAAAAAAATCTTCTGTCTAAATATCCCATCAGAGCCAATGATTCTGATATAGATCAAACTTTTACCGATCGGTGACTGGCAGGTTAAGGTCTCAAACGAAAAACAGAAGCATTCATATTTGCTGCCATAATCAATGTCTTCTAAATCAAGAACAACCAATTTAATTCCTCAAAATTTAGGAGCAACACATCCTGCAGTGTATGTGAAAAAAAAAGGAGACAACTGACTATATAAGACATAGCTGTAACCGATTGATGCCAAAAGATTACTTGCAACGACATAATAAGCCTGCTCAGTACATACATTAGCGAATATGTTGCACATTCAAGCACCCCCGCAAAGAGAATTGCTGGGAACATAAGCTACCAAAAGTTGTACAGAATGAATGTGTTATAATATAGATATTCAAGTTTTTTTTTATTTTAGTTAGTACGAAAACCCAATTTTTTCAGTTTTTTGCATTTTTTTGTGTGAAGCCAATGTTGCAGGAAAATTAACAAAAACTCTACATAAACCTCGTAAGATGGGCTGATGTTTTGTATTAAGTGCATCAGTTTATCCAGTAAAAATTTTGTTCGCGTGTAACTTTGCCTAGTTTTTTGCAAAAAGTCATAACCATTTTCAGTTATATCGATTTTTTCCTGCCAAACCTGGGGTGGGGGCTGGAGTTTGAAAATTTAGTCTTGACCTATCTTGACACATTTGCATCATGTGTATACAATTTCATCGAAATCGGTTGAGAAAATGTAGACGTGCATAAATAGCATACACACGTCTTCTGTTCTATATGTGAGTCTGTTCATTATCTATCTATCTATCTATCTATCTATCTATCTATCTATCTATCTATCTATCTGATTTTGTTCATTATCTATCTATCTATCTATCTATCTATCTATCTATCTATCTATCTATCTGATTCTGTTCATATCTATCTATCTATCTATCTATCTATCTATCTATCTATCTATCTATCTATCTATCTGATTCTGTTCATATCTATCTATCTATCTATCTATCTATCTATCTGATTCTGTTCATATCTATCTATCTATCTATCTATCTATCTATCTATCTATCTATCTATCTATCTATCTATCTCGGTCTGTTCATCCCTTAACACATTCATAAGGCCAATAAGTAGTTGGACAATTGTATTGAGTCAATCTTTCACTTGGAGAGGTTCTGATTCGTCCAATAGCACTATTCACAATTTTAGTTTCCAAACCTGACCATGGAAAATATATTTACTGTATCACGTACCATATAACCAAAAGGGGAGCAATTTTACACACACACACACACACACACACACACACACACACACACACACACACATATATATATATATATATATATATATTAATTAGTGCATATACTTGCACGTATGTTTTTGGTGTGCGACTAAAGTTTCGCTGGATTACCAGCTCATCGGGCACAAAATCTATGTTGTTAAAAGTAAACAAATAGCTTAAAACTTTAACTTAATGAAGCATAACTTACGCCATTCTTTTCGGTTTGATGCTTGGGCTTCCCAGGTTTTCAGATCAAAGTTGAGATGTTTCAAGTTGTCTTTCAATTTGTATTTCTAGCGTAAGATTAGACGCCCAATTGAACGCTTAGAGTTTGGTAGTTGTCCATGCAGCACTTTTTTGGAAGCCTATGCTCATTCATTCTCACAACATGACCATACCACCTAAGTTGTATCTTTGCAGGAATGTTTTAAATGCATGTGATGTTACATTTCTTCAGTATATATAAGATTACCTTTCATGATGTAAATGACAAAGGAAAATAACATTTGACATTTTGAATTAAATATTATTTAATAAACAAATTAATGAATGATGGTATTTGTATGTTTTGATTGTCGGACTGATCAATGGAACAACAACAAATGTCCTGTTATTGAATCATTGATGAACAAGGTTATCAAATCATTGCTTAATATAGCCAGCTTGTTTTTCACTAAACATTCAGCTATTAAGGTTGTGTGTTAGACGATAGTAAGTCTAGTAAATGAAGAAAAAAAACTAAGACACAGACAGAACACTTCAAAAACTACAGAAGGTATTGAAGGGAAGCGAAAAGAAAGGATTAAACATCAACTACAGGAAGACAGAATGAAGGATTGTTAGCAAAAGGATGAGCCCAAAACAAGTAAGAAAAATATATAATATCTGGGAAGTGTTTAAACAGAGGACGGAAATTGCGACACTGAAATGCGAAGGCGCATTGGGATAGCGAAAGATGCCTTTCAAAAGCTAAGCAGATTATTAAGAAATAGAAAAACATCGTTAGAAACAAAGAAAAAGATTTCTAAATTGTGACGTGATATCTGTCTGTATGTCTGTTTGTCTGTCTGCCTCTGTCTCACTCTCTTCTCCCCACCCGACGCCAAAAATGATCAGTCTGATTGTAAATACGATACATGAACGTAGCTAAATGTCGGCAAATATTTCTTTAATTAATGAAAAATTAACAGTACTACCTAATTACTTAAACGGGTATTGAACTCACACACTTTGGGTCCTGTCACTAGATCTAACTAACACCTGTGCCATGTGTCCTTGAGAAACATAGACAGATTAATGAAGAGAAAGTTGGTCATCAAACCTGGACTATTTCAAACCTTGAACCAAGTGACTGAATTCCAAATTAACTAATAAAAAGAAAGCGAACGAAGTCATGACATCATTTTTCACCTCATTCGAAAATAAGAAATCACGAATAAAACACATCAAATACGGAGATCTATTGTAGGAAGTGAAATAAAACAGAATCTCAAACCAAACATTCAGAGTCTTCGTGTGAAACAAAAGACTCTCAAATGTAGAAAAAGATATAATAACTCATCACTGAAAGAGTAAAGAGATGAAAGTAAAAATGAATGACAGGGGATGAGGTAAAAACTAAAATAAATAATCTCCCAGAAAATAAAACCGAAGAATCTACCTGTGACATAACCTGAAGATGAGTCCAACTACATTAGGGTAGAATACCTTAAAAACAATAGAGGTGAAATCACTGAAGCCAAAAACCACATCAGCAGAGCAACTTGCACACAAATGTCAGAGACCAGCTCCCAAACATTCTTTTGACAAAGTCCAATAAACATATTGTGCAAATATACAATGCTGCACTGGATAAACAGTTAACGGATAAACCACTGGGAAACAGAAGTAAATAATGTCATATAGGCAACAGCAGCTACTTGGAAGCTTGAGGTCAAGATAATGAAAAGGTTAAATAAAGAGAGTCAGCTTGGAAGGCAAAACTGATCCGAGAAATAAAGGAAATCAGATGTGAGATTTCGATACTAGATGAGATCACAAGAGACCCAAATGTCTCAACACGTAAAATCACAAAATGGAATTCTATCAATCAAGGAAATGCGAAAACAGAAACTGCAGTTAAAGGCACAGAGAACAAGAAGATATGGAAAAAGTTACAAGTTCTATAATATTCCAAACAGATCTTAAGAAATTTTACAGGGAAATTGGAAAAGCAATTATATAAGTCAAAAAGCCTACATCCATGGAAAAAGTGCAGACATTTTTAGAGAATATTTAGATCAGCCCAAAGGAATATAATCCGAATGGAGAATGAATTCAACGAGAAGAAAAACGAATGTTGAATAAACATCTACAAGGATTGGAAAATAGAAGCACGAATAATGTCAAATTCTAACGAAATTCCCAAAATGGGAATCTCTAGGAAATGAGAAGGTCTCCAATTATTGGCTCTATCATTTGTCATCTATCCATAAAACTCTTGCACAAACTTATCAATGCTTATTAATAATCCCAATGAAGTCCCAGAATTGATCACTGAAGTTATTACATATCGCCTGCCAAAAACAAGTGAAACTCATTATCCGAGAAATTCGAGCCAACAACGTCTGTCTACCACGTATAAATTGATCACGTCTACATTACGAAGGGCTTAGTGGAAAATGTCAGGATGCCATTTTTGACCTTATGTCTCTGGTTGGGACCCGGAAGAAATGAGTATACATCAGAAATCAAAGGAATAATAATAATAATAATAATAATAATAATAATAATAATATACTATTCGATGCAGCGAGAAAAATATGTCCTCAGCCTAAATTTTAGAGAAAGTAGAAACAAAAAGGAAACTGATACTTAACATCAAGAAGAGACAGCTGAGGTTACTAGGGTACATAATGAGGAAAGAGGGCTTGGAAAATCTTATACTCAGAGGACATATTGAAGGTAAGAGAGACAGAGGAAAACAGCACATAAGAAAAAATAACAGAAAGTAAAATTTTATTGAGCTACAAGAAACAGGAAGTTGTGGAGAGCCATGATCGTCTACGTCCTGGGGGTGGGGACACGACATATAAAGAAGAAGAAATGTGGCGCCTGTTTAAGAGCAATGGTTAGCAAATGAGTGTCACAGACAATTCTTAACTAAGTGCTTTTGATCCTCTTTGGGCACCAAAATATAGTGGTTCTGTTACAGTTGAAGATGAACTTAGCTGCTATCCATCTTGAACTGGCACGAGAAGTATTTCTTCTAATCCCTGTTCTGCCAAACACTCACACAAACTCATTAGGGGTGGGTGTTATTCTTTGCTTTCGTTCGTCCCTCGCTATTCACTGTTTAAGAAACGCACACCACATGTTGGAACATCGATGAATCTATATCGGACAGTATCATTTTCCTGTCTTGAAACCGTAAACAACAGTTATTTTGAAATGATTGTTTTCTTTATCATTAGCTAAAAACTACACTCAGTGCGAACTTTACGGAGGACGAATTGTGGCTGCAGCCCAAAACTACAGGGACCCTTCGTCCAGTTTAGAAAACAGAAATGATAATTTTGAAGGAATAAATTTAAATTCTCATTTCACTAAAACATCAAAATTTTACTTTAAATCTGATTCGGGCTATAAGTCCAGTTCTGGCCAAAAGAACGATTTGGCTTCAAATTCCAGTTCAGTTTCGAAAACTGAGTTCTTCAAATCACAAACTCTGCGGAACTTCAAAGCTTCACGTCACGAAACCTTTCACTTTGACTCAGATTCCTTGGTATTTTGAAGAAATAAAATTGATTTACTCAGCTCAAAAAGTTTGGAAGATATTTTAAACTGAACTTAAACCAAAAAAGTAAGTAAATAAATAAAGTTTTTGTGTTTTTCTAAACTTAATATAAAATAAAAACCTTCAAAATCAATATTTTTTTTCAGTTACTTTTAAATTTTAAATTTTTAACTGTCCCCTCCACTTCTGGATACAAATTCTATTGTTGGATATTCAAGCACCAGATGAAGTGGGGATTTTCAATCCCGGGATCATCTTGATTCCCAAAAAGATATAATATTAGGTTGGTGCAAAAATAATGTCGTTTTTGACGTTCAACTTCAAAAGAGAAAACGACATTATTTTTGCACCAACCTAATATATACGAGTTATTTTCGTATTTTAATGTATACTACTATTAATATTATATGGAAGATTTATTCCGATACGACATTAAGTTCTGTAGTTTTTATCAGTTAAATTCACTGATTTAATCTGATTTACATTAAATTGGATTTACTATTTTCTTTTTAATAATTATAATTTTTACTTTCCAAATTCAAACTTCAATGAATGATGGATTTTAAATACAGAGTGAATACTTTGATGGATTTTAAATACAGAGTGAATACTTTGGGAACTTTCGCAATGGACAAAATGGAGGCACTTGATAAAATACATAACGAGCGGAAACAAGAACAATTCAATTATCCTAATTCAGCCAATCTTTTAATGGCTGACACAAATTAGAATGAAAATGAAGTAACTGTTTTGCTATTTCGATGACCCACTTTCTTCCCGCCATTTCTTTGCTACTTCCGTTTTTAAATTAAATAATCCGACCATCGATTTTTAGCGCTTCAATCATTTCTTTTCTCATGAAATAAAACAATAAAACTCATAAATGACGAATCTAAATTATTTTGAAGAATTTCCGGAGATCTGTCGCAAATCTGGTTGTAAATTATTGAATCAATATGGA